CCCAGGATCAAGGGATCCTCCTGCCTCAGCCACCAAAGCAGCTAGGACAACAGGTACGTGCCACCCTACCTAGCTAATTTTTGTATTTTGGCGCCTGACTAATTTTTGTATTTTTTCTAGAGACAGGGTTTCTCAATGTTGCACAGGATGGTCTTGAACTCCTGGGCTTGAGCAATCTGCCAAGTCAGCCTCCCAAAGTGCTGGGATTACAGGTATAGGCATAAGCCACCATGCCTGACTCAGGTGACTTTTTTTTTTTTTTTTTTGAGACAGAGTCTCGCTCTATCACCAGGATGGAGTGCAGTGGCACAATCTTGGCTCACTGCAACCTCCATCTCCTGGGTTCAAGCAATTCTCCTGCCTCAGTCTCCCAAGTAGCTGGGACTACAGGCGCACACCACCACACCCAGCTAATTTTGGTATTTTTAGTAGAGACTTGGTTTCAACATGTTGACCAGGATGGTCTCAAATCTCCTGACCTCATGATCCACCTGTCTCAGCCTCCCAAAGTGCTGGGATTACAGGCGTGAGCCATGGCGCCCAGCTCGCATGACATTTTTAAAGTAATTCCTATTATGTGAAATATCATATTGGTGAATTAAATAAATAAACAAATAAATAAATCCTAAAACACAACTGGGTCTGGAACCTCTAGGGAAAAACATCTCTAAGACATCATATAGGCTCATAATACGCACTGGAAAAACATTTTGGGTACTGCTACGTCTCTGTATGCAAAGTATGTTTTTTTCCTCAGATACTCTAATTACAAACTTGTAATTATCCTATCCTTAAGATGTTCTTAAATATTTTTCAATCAATAGCAACAAAACCTACTAAACTGAAAACAAACAAGTTAAACATAAACATTGGTCTTCACCTTTTTTGGACTGTGGTGAATTGTCCTTTCCATTGTTTTCCAGGAACACTATGAAGATTGCAAAACCAAATCATGAGGTTAGATTCCTACTGAAATGAAAGACATTCATATTTGGAAACTCTTATAAGCAAGAACTCCGAAAAGTTCAAGATACTTCTGTAGAATGGTTTAATTTAAAAAGTGGCAGATATCCTGCATGAGGTTAAGAAGCTACTGGTACCCTGTTCTGAATCTCCTTCTTCCCTATGGTTCTCCTCCCACCAACTAACTCTCGTCTTCAAGTCTACAGAAAGCAGCTGACCTTAGTAGCATAACCTCTATACCAAACTCAACTCTTACCTTCTCCATAAAGCTGCCAGAAATTGCTCCTGCTCAGAGTAATTTACCTCTTACCACTGTTATTTCACTGTGTGGTATTGTACTCCCAATTAAATTGAGAATGTCATAAAAGATTTTATAAAACACTTGCAATGCCTAGCCTATTTGGAAGCATTCAAAAGCTATGTATTGATGTATTTGTTCAATCAACGTATCCTCTCCTCCTTCCTCTTCCACATATTACCATCAGTTCTTCTGATTCTACTGCCTTCTCTCCTTCCTCAGTTCTTAATTCTCATCATCTCTCACCTAAACCTAAAATTGTATTCACGCAGATCTCCCTGTTTTCAATCTTAATCCCTCTCCTATCTACTCTTCTCACTTGGCAATTGCCTTTGTAAAACTCCATTCCAGCATTTTTTTTTTCTTTTGAGACAAGGTCTTGCTCTGTCACCCAGGTTGGAGTGCATGGCACAATCACGGCTCCCTGCAGCCTTGATTCCCTAGATTCAAGTGATACTCTTGCTTCAGTCTCCAAGTAGCTGGGACTACTGGCACACACCGCCATGACAGGCTAAATTTTGTATTATCTGTAGAGACAGCGTTTCGCCATGTTGCCCAGGCTGGTCTCGAACTCCTGGCCTCAAGCTATCCTCCCACCTCAGTCTCTAAAAGTGCTCAGATTACAGGCATGAGCCACAGTTCCCGGCCAAATTCAGCATTCTTGATCAGAGAATAAAATTCAAACTCCTTGGTATTCAAAAACTTTCACAACCAGGCTCCTCCTCCCTTGATATTCAATAAGATAATTAAGCATAATTACTACTTCAAAGCTCTGTAAACATGATATAGAAAAAAAAAGACAAGGCCGGGCGCGGTGGCTCAAGCCTGTAATCCCAGCACTTTGGGAGGCCGAGACGGGCGGATCACGAGGTCAGGAGATCGAGACCATCCTGGCTAACACGGTGAAACCCCATCTCTACTAAAAAATACAAAAAAAACTAGCCAGGTGAGTTGGCGGGCGCCTGTAGTCCCAGCTACTCGGGAGGCTGAGGCAGGCGAATGGCATAAACCCGGGAGGCAGAGCTTGCAGTGAGCTGAGATCCTGCCACTGCACTCCAGCCTGGGCGACAGAGCGAGACTCCATCTCAAAAAAAAAAAAGAAAAAAAAAGACAAGAGAAAAACTACCTCAGGTGATCCGCCCAGCCTATTCTGTCTACTCTCTATAGTTCATCAACTTGGATGATATGACTTATTTATATTATCTGTCATCTATAATCTCACTATTGAAATGTAAGCTGTGGCTAGGTGCGGTGGCTCACGCCTGTAATCCCAGCACTTTGGGAGGCCGAGGCGGGCGGACCACCTGAGGTAGTTCGAGACCAGCCTGACCAACATGGAGAAACTCCATCTCTACTAAAAAGAAAATACAAAATTAGCTGGGCGTGGTGGCACATGCCTGTAATCCCAGCTACTTGGGAGGGTGAGGCAGAACTGCCTGAACCCGGGAGGCGGAGGTTGCAGTGAGCCGAGATCGCGCCACTGCACTCCAGCCTGACAACAGCAAAACTCCGTCTTCAAAAAAAAAAAAAAAAAAAAGACAGTGAGTAGACAGAATAAATATAAGCACATAATCACATTTTCAGAGGAACTTCTGAAAATACTAATATGGCCCGAGACAGTTCCAGTCAAATGCTATATTCTTTTCTTGCTATGAACACTGGCCATAAGTAGTATTAAGTACTCACATCATACTAGATGCCTAAGAAAACAAAATTAATGATCCTTCTAAAAGGAAAAAAATACATAAAAGTGCTATAAAATTTCACTTTTATGTGATGGGTAAAGATTAGCACAAATTATGTATGCTGCTACTTTTTTTAAAGAGAGAAAATTTTGTCTTAAAGAGAAAATAAACCTTACTAAGAGATGGAAAAAAGTATAATCAGAATAGAATGATTCTCAGCAACTAACAACAAAAAAGAGTGGCTACTTTGAGGTTTAAAGTTATTAAGTTAAAAATAATTAGCCAGGTATGGTGGCACATGCCTGTAGTTTTAGATACTCAAGAGACTGAAGTGAGAGGATCACTTGAGGCCAGGAGTTTGAGATTACAGGGAGCTATGAACACACCACTGCACTCCAGTCTGGGCAACAGAGCAAGACCCTGCCTCAAAAAAAAAAAAAAAAAAAAAAAATTAAAGAATAAAAACATACATATAAAAAAATCAAAATTACCTCTCAAACCATGTTTTTATACTGTGTGCAAATGATTCCCCTGGATACAGCTGATTATTTCTTAGATATGAAAGAATATCTAGTAGTTTATTTGAATAATTATCATCCTTTATGTCTTTTCCAAAATCAAAGAAAGCTTTTAAAGTTTCCAACATAGGAACAATATCATGACCTAGCAATTCCTGATACAAATTCCAAGCTGTGTTTATATCTTGATGAAGGAGAGCTCCCTGGATACAGTCATTATAGTTCTTTTTAGAAGGAGTGATAACTTTTTTGATGTCCTCTAACAGCAACAATGATTCTCTCCATCTGTCTGAATGGATCAGTCCCTGGATGAGAAGAGTGTAACCTCCAGGTTCTAAAGTCTTATATCTGGTTTTCATAATTTCAAAGACATCAATAACTTCAGATGTCTGCATATGAAAGACACAGAGATACAAATACCTGACCAGTAAATCATAACTTACGATACCATTATTTTTTGCTGCTACCCATGCCAGCAGAGATTTAGCCACATCTACAGAGCTATGAGAGTGAGCCATCTGTGAAATGATGAAACTTTCAAAACTGGTCTTTCCTTTGAAATCCGCCTTAAGTTTATCCCACTCCTCTGAATTCAAAGGTTGTGTTGGGAGTTGAATAGTGTTCCTCACAGATGGCAAGGCATGATCTTTACTTTGAGGATTCATCTGTGATCTCTTCTTAGCTGCTCCAGCTGAAAAAAAATGAGGAACAGAAGAAACTTGCTTATTACTGCCCTCCCCTTTCCTGAGATGTCTGGCCTTGGCAATCAGATTCGTTGCTTTGGTATTCTGTGGAGACATTGTTTTAAGAGAAAACAACCTCTGTTGGCTCCTGATGCCACAGCTGTCTGAAAGAAAGAGAGAGACATAAGAGTGCCCTGGGCCTAGCCCAAGGTATGGGTTGCTCTTCCAAAGCTTAGGAAAGCTTCGAATACCAAACAAATAGAAAGTCATTATGCAGTGAGATCAGCACCAGATAGAGAGATGTTGGAAAAAAACCCTCTTCTATAGCAAAATTAAAGGGATTGGTGGTCGACAGTGGAGAGTCGAAGTGCAGCTTTTTAAAAGAAGATTTGTGTTTCTTCCTTACAGACAAATCAAAGTTCTGCTTTTGGGGTTACTTAATAGCAAGAAGGCAGGTGAGTTTTCTCTATTAAACAACAATCCGGGGATGTCCAACGTCGCAAGCCGCAAACCAGGAGACAGAGCAGGAATCCTCTGGTGCCTCTTACATTCCAGTTCATGAACCTGAGGAAAAAGCACAAGAAGGAACGCCCAGTTTTACTCACGTGGATCACAGTTGTCCTGAAAAGGAACAGATTCCCACAGGAAGCTTGCTGGAAAGGGGGTATAAAGCCAAAACCGTATCCAGGAGCCTCCAACTCCAGCCCACCAGCAACAGCGGCGAAAGCCAAAGTCTAGGGGCCCTCACCCTGCATAACTCTCCAAAGACCGCAAAGCTCCTCCGATGGAGGGATGCGGAGGGAGGAGGTGGCGAGTCAGGTGCGCCAACGACTCGGGAAAGGAAGAGAGATCCAGGAAGGGCGCTGCCTAGACTGTGTACCTATCGCTGACAAACGAAGTTCACTTCATTCAACAACTCAACGCGGCACTCAGGCTTAACGCGGCCATAAACGCGGCGGGAACTACAGGGCCCACTATGCACCGCGCCAGCCCCGGCCGACTGACGAGACTGACCCGGACTTAGGCGTTCCGCCTGGCCTGGCGGCGAGGAAAAAAGGCAATTTTGAAGCATTTTGTGGCAAAAAGGGTAAGAGACGGCTGCGGAAGCGTCTACTACGTTCAGGGGACCTGGAGGGCTTACAGATATCCGCAATGAACAATGAAAAGAAATTGTGAAAGAAAGCGCTTCCCTCAAGCCGGAACCAATTAACTTCTGAGTCACGTGGTGCGCACGCGCCAAAGGCGCATGATAAAGGAAAACGCGGGCTTATCCTGCCTTTTAAAATCCGGCTTGGTGAGCTTGGGACGCCTCCTGAAGGAGAACCATTTTCCATCTCTTTCATAGCTTTCCCCCAGTCAGCGTGGTAGCGGTATTCTCCGCGGGAGTGACAGTAATTGTTTTTGCCTCTTTAGCCAAGACTTCCGCCCTTGTTCAAGATGGTGGTTGAGCGGCCTTTCTAACCTTTACGGGGCCTGGCGGTGCTGACGCCTGAGTTGGTAGGGGTGGAGCAGGTAGGAAACAGCAAATGCAGAAGCTGCTGCGCGAGAGTCGGCCATGGACTGGAAAGAAGTTCTTCGTCGGCGCTTAGCGACGCCCAACACCCGTCCAAACAGTGAGTTTTGGGAGGGGCCGCCCGTTGGGATGGCCCGGCCCTAAACTCCTAGAGGTAGGAGGGAGGTGGGGAGGAGGAGCAAGGGGGAGCCGCACTTTCCGCTTCTGTGAAACCTCGCGACAAAGGAGGCGGAGTGGAATGTGCTTTAGGGATCCCAATAGGGTTGACCCAAACTTTCCTGGGACGGAGTCTGGGGGAACGAAAAACTTAGCCTTAGTCACTGACTTCCATGGTCTTAATCTAAACTTGTGAAGAATAACTTAGAACCCCGGATCCAACAACCCCTCAACCCCACCAGGACCTGTAATTGTCCTACTGCCTTTTTACTGTCACGCTTTTTGCTTCCCTCCTAATCCATTTTATATTTCATAATCCATTTTTCCTTTTATTTTTCTCCTTCACATTGCTTATTAACTAACCTCGTTAAATCTAGCTTTCCTATTCCACACCCGCACTAAGGGCTGTTGAAAGTGGCTGGAGAAAAACAGAACCTTGT